CAGGACTTTGGAGAGGCCGCTCCGTTTTTGCGTAAATCTGAGATGGAGCTTCTGGTGACGCAGACGATAGCTTTTGACGGTAGGTCTGAAAAACTCACAGCAAATACACAGACACACGCAGCTATCTATATCAATATCACATCAATATTTACATTTAATTGATTTAACAAGCATTAAATTCGTTTCGCCATGTGTTCTTTTTAAACAATTGCTGAATTTACAACTGAATTTGTGTATGGACATATATACATATATATAAATATATATGTATCCACCGGTGTATGCTTTGTAGGCTGGTCTTGATAAACATATAAACTACTACAGGAGCTTCAGAAATGTGTACTATGGTTTCTTTGAAAATATACACAAATAAGATGTGAACTATGTTATCTGTAATTGTACCTGTATTGAATGTATGCACAATGATGGTCCATGTGTGTAGAGGTAACGACAACTTGTGAGCAACAAATGTCAACTTCTGCCACAATAAGTAAAATATACATGTCTTAATGCAACTATTAGGTGTGTGCTACAAATACTGTTTTATTTTATTTCGTTCATTATGTTTACTACAACTAAAGTAAACTTTTACTCTTACATTTACTCCTGTCGCAGTATTTCTCCGTTTGACTCCTGAACTGTTGCAGGTAAGAAGCACGCCTGGATCCCAGATGATAAAGAGGCCTACGTTGAGGTGGAGATTAAAGAGCGCAAGGGTGACAAAGTCACTGTTGAGACCAAAGATGGGAGGGTGAGTGAGCAGCTTCTGCTTGGATAGATAATTATTACTTCATTTTCAAATAGTTTTGGTCGACTATTTCCATGAAATATTACACGATATTTATACACACTAATACTACTCCATGAAACACGATATTTATACACACTAATACTACACATCTATAGTATCAGCCCTATTCTGTACTTTTACTTCTAAGTCCTGGAGAGAAATTGTATACACGTTTCTCTTATAAGAACTTATTTTCAAAAAAATGTTGAATTTATTTTTAAAACTCTTATCGGATCACGCGTAGCTACAGATCGGAAGGTTGCCGGGTTTGCACCTTTTGACAGTGTGTAAAGTTAACACAAAAAACTCTCCTGTACTTGTAGTCATTTTTAATAGTCGATAGTAATTTTAATTACTATTTAATTGCTAATTTTAATAATAATTAATTAGTAATTTTAGTTCTGATTTTTTAAGTCTCATGTGGTACATGTCTATTTAAAATTGCACCATTAATTTGTGGTACATGTCTATTTAAAATTGCACCCTTACTTTTTCTTAAAAACAAAAGAAAAGCCATAATTTATTATTCAAAATAAATACTTTTGGGAGTAAATTCTGAACATTTGGTTGTAATATTCTGGGATTACTTGTAATATAAAGTAATATTCCTTTATTATTTAACATGAAGGTTCCCTTATTAGTCTGTAACCTACCAGAGTGTTTTTCAAATTTGATGTCGCAACCCCCTGTGGTGGCATCCTTAATTTAAATTAAGGTCACCTGAAATGTCTATTAATTTATAAAATTAAATTACTGATACGTTATTTTTCAACCACTTATTATTCTTTTTAAAATTAACTTTGTATTTGCAACACAGTAAAACAAATGTGATCGACGATATCTATAAAAAAAAGTCTCTGGAGTTCTCAGAAATGTGTGATGTTAAAAGGGATTCACAAGCCAAAAAAAGATGGAGACCACTGACCTTGTAACATGTTTGGATCCTTCAAATCCTGGTCTTCAAAGGCACACGTGTCTCAGTCCTAACTTGTTTGGTTTTGTCTGTGTTTTTTCTTTCAGACCCTGACAGTGAAGGAGGACGACGTCCAGCAGATGAATCCTCCGAAGTATGACCTGATCGAAGACATGGCCATGCTGACCCATCTCAATGAGGCGTCGGTTCTGTCCAACCTAAGAAGACGATACGCAAAATGGATGATTTACGTGAGTACAGCTGTTTGCACCACAAAAGTCTGGACGATGATATTGTTTATATGTTTCCAAAAAGCTGACAAAATGTTTCACAGTTTTTCACTGTTTTTGTTAACAGATCCTGAATTATAATAAAATGATTCTTCAATAACATAAATTAAATTAAATGTCTTTTTTTAATAATTCAGTTCAGATTTGATTAATTAATGATTAATTAACATCATGTACTATGGTGCACCAATGAATTACATAGCTAATTATATGTATGTTTTAGAAATGTTTCAAAAACAGAATATGTGAAGTTTTACAGATCTAGGGATTTTAAAACCATTTTAAAGATAAAATATTTACTATTCAAAATAATTGAGAAATAGATATTTTTTGATTCATTCTAAATATATATATATATATATATATACACTAAAATGTTAAAATACAGTTTGTCCTTCCGTCTTCTCAGACCTATTCCGGCCTCTTCTGTGTGACAGTGAATCCATACAAATGGCTGCCTGTCTACACTAATCAAGTGGTCGCTGCCTACAAAGGCAAACGTCGCTCTGAAGTTCCACCGCACATCTACTCCATCGCAGATAATGCCTACAACGACCTGCTACGCAGTGCGTTTTCCTTCTCTTTTTTTAACAACACGAGGCCTGTCAATCAGACAGGCAGGCACCAGCGCTCACACTTGTTTTTCTCTCCTCTCTAGACCGAGAAAACCAGTCCATGCTGATTACGTAAGTGTTAACTTTTATGTGATTTATATTTGCCCAAATCCAAGGGATTGGATGTGAAAGAGTTTTTTTGTTTTTAACCTCACATAAACTTTGTTAATAATTATAATAATAATAACAATTTGGTAACTCTCAATATATAATTAATTAATTATAATACATTAATCAATGACAAATGCACAGAATTCTTACAGTTCTTACTAAGATTAATATTATACACAAAAATATGTAGTTCATCCTGGTTCCACCCTAAGACTTCTAGTATTCACATAATACTGCGTCCTTTAGGGCAGAGTTCACTATAGTTGGACGGCTGTACGTGTCAGTACACAGACTACGTCCTGTCTAGAAGCCATAACCAGAAATGACATGATGGGATTTCAGTTGGTTTGACAGATGTTACATTTGTCTGGTCTAATGTGTGGAGCATTCTATGTAATGACAACATGTCATGTAAACACAGCAAGTACAGAAGGTTCAAAAACAAATGATATTAGTGACACAGTTCAAACTGTGATACACTGACATTCTTGTTTCTAGGTGTATTAATTATTTGTAATGTTTTACCTGATGATGCTGGACTGTGCATGAGAAGACGTTCTCTCCATATGGACCTGCGTAAATCATAATATTATCATGAGCAAAAAATGCATACATTTTCATTACTTATTAATTACATTACTTTTTAAATACAACATGGAGTAAATTTAGTAAAGCATGGATTCTCAGAGATTTTTTTCAGCAGTTTCCTTGCTATATATTTCTGCTGCCACCAAAAGCTGTCGTCATCCTCATTTCTGAGCCCACCGCATTAATAATCAGTGAGTGAACTTTTTTAAAAAAGAAAATATATAGGACATAAAACTTGATCTTTTCAGGTGCTTTATTGTCATTAATGGTTTTTTGTTTTTTCAAGATTTTCTGACATTTTGACATTTTGTATACTGTTTTTTGTTTTTTTGTTTTTTGTATTATTTTCAAACTCCTATAGCGGAGAATCCGGTGCTGGCAAAACTGTCAACACGAAACGTGTCATTCAGTATTTTGCCATAGTGGCAGCTCTGGGGGATTCAACTGCCAAAAAAGGAGTAAGGCTGATGTGGAAACCCATAGTTTTGTTTTCCTCCTCTTCTTTTTGAGCTTTTTTTTTTTTTTTCCCAGGAAGTCTGCAGTGACACCATTCATTCCCTCCCTGTCACAGTGTAAAAACTCTTTATCCTCATCTCTTGTGCTGTTGCAGCAGTTTTCTGCCACTCAGCTTTGCTCCTTCATTGTTTTTGTTTTTAAAATCATTATTCCTCCCTTTTCATTTACTCCTTTTGTTTTTTGTTGTTGCTTTTTGGGCTCAGAACCTTTTACCTTTACCTTTTGCTTTTTGACTTTTTTTGTTTTCTTATTTTTAATGTTCCTCCCGTGTCCTCCTGTGTGTTGACCACACTCCCATCATGTTAAATAAGGTGCTCATTGTTTTTCAACATTCAGTCGTAACCAACAATTTCTAATTTTTGGGTTGGTGTTTCTCCCCTGTTTTTGTGAAAGCAATTTTCTTTAGCATTTAGCACATTGTCACACTCACTATCTTCCCTTTTTTTTCCTGTAGAGCCCTGCCACTAAAACAGGGGTGAGTCAAAGCTGCAGAAATTGGTTTAATAGAAAAAAAACTACTCTATATTCACCAAGACTGGGTATTTAAACCTTCTTTTGTACGCAGGGGACTCTGGAAGATCAGATTATCGAGGCGAACCCTGCCATGGAAGCTTTTGGGAATGCCAAAACGTTAAGGAACGACAACTCGTCCCGTTTTGTAAGTATTGATCTTCACTTCATTATATATATATATATATATATATATATATTAGCCTCACAAGAAAAAAAAAACGGTAAAAAAATAGAAAATAAAAGACATTTTGTAAGACATACTGTACATACAGGGTATTGCAAGAAATGGCAAGGGTTAATATATACGTAAATAATATAATAACTAACACATGACTGTTTATACACTGTATAATTGTTCATTGATATTTTATTATATTGTCTCCAGGGCAAATTCATCAGAATCCACTTTGGACCTACTGGCAAACTGGCCTCAGCTGATATTGATATATGTGAGGATCTTTAATATCTTCACTTCACTTTAATAAGTTCTATGTGTTTATAAGTATATATAGGTAATTCAGAAATATTTTTGCTCTTCCTGTTTCTTTGCTTCTGTCCCCTTTGATGAACTATAGCGTTGTTGTCTCTTTTCTTAAAGATCTTCTGGAAAAATCCAGAGTGATATTTCAGCAGCCTGGAGAGAGGAGCTATCATATCTACTACCAAATCATGTCCCAGAAGAAACCAGAACTGATAGGTCAGTCACTATGGTTGTTTGTTCATTTATTTACTTGTCTGTCTGTCTATGTATTTGTTTATTGCCACAGACCACGACAGTATTTGTCGTCTCTTGGTTACAGACATGCTGCTGGTGTCCTCCAACCCGTATGACTTCCACTTCTGCTCACAGGGTGTCACTACAGTGGAGAACGTGGATGATGGACAGGAGTTGATGGCCACTGATGTAGGATCATTTATCTTTTCACTTTTGACAGAAATGTAACCAAAGTCAAAAACTAAACAAAAAATAAAGATAACTTTTCTCTCCTACCCTCTGTGTTCAGCATGCCATGGACATCCTTGGTTTCCTGCCTGATGAAAAGTATGGCTGCTATAAAATAGTTGGAGCCATCATGCACTTTGGAAACATGAAATTCAAGCAAAAGCAGCGGGAGGAACAGGCCGAGACCGATGGCACTGAAAGTAGGAACCACTGACTCGAGCTGTTTATATCTATGAATTTAATCCCAAAAAGACCAGATGTTTATGAATGTGGACAATGAAGATACTTCATACAATCCTTCATACGATACTTCATTGACAATCCCATTATCACTATTGCTCAGTATCATATTTGACAATCCCATTATCACTATTGCTCACATATTTGACAACCCCATTATCACTATTGCTCATTTTGGGAGATCTCACTTTTGGAATTTTAACAGTCAAACACCATTATGTTAATTTTCACAGACTCTTATTTTGGGGGGAAGTGCAGTGCAGTTGTAAGGATTTCTGTCTGCCATACTGCCATACCAAAAGTGTTTCTTTACAGTGTCTTATTTGATGTTATATGAACAGGTGCAGACAAGGCCTCGTACCTGATGGGAGTCAGTTCAGCTGATCTCATCAAAGGTCTTCTCCACCCAAGAGTGAAGGTGGGCAACGAGTACGTGGTTAAGGGACAGAATGTCGAACAGGTGAGAAAACTGAACATCAACTGCTATGGGTTCCATGTCATGACTTTCACACTTCCTACAGATATTGTAGATGATACAAAACACTGGCACAGACACATTCAGTATTGTAAACTGTTTGATTAAACCTGTCCAGAAACAAGCCCAGCGCACAATCAGCAAACGCATTTAAAAAAAATACACTGCCCCAGATGGCAGTAGTCATCCCCCAAAACTGTATCGGTAAATCCACGTGTAAAAACTAAAGATAGCCCAAAATAAGGCAAAAAAGAGAAGCATGGATTAATAGAACACTTTATACTGCGATCTGCCAAATCTGGAAATGTCTCAAAACCAGCCATTCCCATTTCACCCACATTGTGATGACACAACGTGGGTCGTTATAATACCTCCGCCCTCTCAGTGGGTAGCTCCACCCTGGAAACATCTAGGTTTGCTCTTGACTCTTGGTTTCGACCGCAGTGTGTTGTCAGGTGTCCTGCCAATTTACCATACCTGCCACAATGGCATACACCACCTTACTGCACAAGTTCACAAAAATAATCACTCTTATTTACATTTGCCTGTCATTCATTTCTCTCCTTAAGTCGTATAAGAAATCTTATATGAGCCATGCTCATGTCTTTCCATGTTGAAGAGGTGAGAACACGCAGTGGTTCATTACCATGACATCATCTCACTCCTTAGTCCATCAGTAACCTCCTCACTTCACACACACACACACACACACACACTAGGGACTGGTATCTAAGCAACAGGCACTACTTAAGTGAATGACAGCTGTTCTGTCTTGTTCTGTGTGTGTGTGTGTGTATGTATGTGCTGTAGGTAAACTACGCCGTCGGTGCTCTGGCCAAAGCCACGTATGACCGCATGTTTAAATGGCTGGTAGGACGGATCAATCGTACGCTCTACACCTCGCTGCCCCGACAGTACTTCATCGGAGTCCTGGACATTGCTGGATTTGAGATATTTGAGGTAAATTACCTAAAATGTCTTCAGCTTCCTCAATTATTAAGATCAAACTGATTGGCAAACATTTCTTCTTTTGTGCCTTTCACTTGTAAACTCCTGTTCCTGTGTTGTTGCAGCTCAACAGCTTTGAGCAGCTGTGTATCAACTTCACCAATGAGAAACTGCAACAGTTTTTCAATCACCACATGTTCGTCCTGGAGCAGGAAGAGTACAAACGGGAGGGCATTGAATGGACTTTCATTGACTTTGGTTTGGACCTTCAACCGTGCATTGATCTAATTGAAAAGGTGAGTGAATCATAATTAACCAAAGAGAATCTAAAGAGTTATTAGACGCTCAGTCAGAATGTGGATGTTGGGCTCACGCCCCCCGTGCCCTCCTGACCCACACTGCCGCAAATTGAAATACTATTGAGAATAATAACATGTATATTGTTTATTTGTACAAATCACTGTATGGGTTGCTGCCACCTAGTGACTGGAGGCTTGTTATCATACATCCATTACAGCAGTGGTACACTGTCCAGAGTGCCTTATTCCACTACTCCACATGTATACCCACAGTCAGATGCTGCTGCAGCTAATTCTGTTGCATCATGTTTCTGAACTATAGCAACTCACAGTAAAGATTGCACCGTGTTGATTAGACGACTGACTATTTTGAAGGTTGTTCACAAAGCAGATGTCTGACGTATGTCTTGGAGACAACCGAACTGTTTGCCTTTGTGGTAAGCGAGCTAAAGGGTGACAGGAGAGGGGGCATTTGGCTCTTCATCGCAGCACAGCACAGCTGGCTTCTAGTGTGTGCGGCCTACGTGCATTTATCCTACCATTTGGCACCCACACACACTTCAATATCGATTCAGCAACCTTCTGAATCAATTCAAGCCCCTCGTGTTGAAGGAGAGCACAAGTTGAGTAGAGAACAGTGCCCCGTCTGAAAGAGAGGGGCACCTACAGAGACGCTCTGTGCAGTGTGGAGGAGCCTGGCAGTGACTTGGTCCAACAGTGAGTCAATATTGAATCAAATGTGACCTAAAAAAATCAAATCAAATTGTGAGATTCTTACCAATACAGAACAATAGGGCAACTGATAATATCAGTGATAATGTCTAGGTTCATGTTTTTGGATGGGACGTAGCATCATAATAATAACTTTCTTTCTACTTTCAGCCACTGGGCATCATGTCCATCCTTGAAGAGGAGTGCATGTTCCCAAAGGCCACAGATGGAAGCTTCAAAGCCAAGCTGTATGATAATCACATTGGCAAGTCACCCAATTTCCAAAGGGCCAGACCGGACAAGAAACGCAAGTACGAGACCCACTTTGAGCTGGTCCACTACGCTGGGGTGGTAAGTGGACAACTATGCACAGAGCAAACACTAAATTGTCAGCAGTCACAGCTGTTCCAAGAGCAAATGTTTCTGACATGGTTGTAAAATAGCTGCAATAAAAACAACTCAATTAAATACGGAATATTTCCAGACTGTAAATCTACTCTGTTAACCATATTGGGTCCTTCACACAAATACTGATCAAACAGTAGATTACTGTCATGTTGTGGTTAATTACATTTCTAAGATGACATAACTAGTGCTGTGTTTGTAACAGGTACCATATAACATCTTTGGCTGGCTGGACAAAAACAAAGACCCTTTAAATGAAACAGTGGTGGCATGTTTCCAGAAGTCTTCCAACAAGCTGATGGCCTCTCTGTATGAGAACTACGTTGGCTCGGACTCAGGTACAAGACAGTAATCTGTAATCTGACTGGATGTGTTTACATTATACACTCTGATGACCAGTCTCCAGTAATATAGCTGTAATAATCGTGAAACTCCTTTAATTAATCAGTCCATTAATCAATCATCAGCTCCCTCGGAGCCAAAACCTGGCGTCAAGGAAAAGAGGAAGAAGGCAGCTTCCTTCCAGACGGTGTCACAGCTGCACAAGGTGAGCCTGTCAAAGCCTTGATTGGTCAGCCATGATGGCAGGTGTAGTTTGGACGCCATCTGAGCGACAGCTGGGACGGAGGCAGTTAAGACTTGCAGTGATGTTTAGTGCAATGATCACATGAACATCACTTTAAGTCTGTGCTGGCTCCTCTCTTCCACACCATCAAGACCTGGTCCAGCCCTTTAGGCAACAGTTCAAGATGAACAATTTCACTGTGCAATTGTTTTGAGTCAGCAAGTACGCATTTCTCCCCAGAAAAGATATAAACTTTCTGAAAAGATATCACTGTAATTGGGTAACATAAAAAGTTAACAAGTACTTGACTTGTTTAAGTTTCATGAAGAGTTTTGACCAATCATCAAAGAGACTTCTTTATTTCCAACTGACTCCTGTATCAAATCCAAGCTGAGCTGATCAATAGTTTGTGGTCGTCTTTGTCTGATTGTTGTCCTCATCATTATCCATGAATTTTCATAGGGGACAGACAGGGACAGTCTGTGGGCGACTGTATATCCAGGCAGCATGTGTTTATCACTCATGTTGAGTCAGAATTAACGTTAATAAAAAAAATCCATCTGACATTTTCACTCATTAGTAAACTGTAGATTCACAGACTCCAGTGTCAGTCATGGCTGAAACACCTTCATATCACAGGCTTTTTCCTCTTTAAAACATACAACAGTCTGCATGGTATTTTTTCCTCTTTTGCACAAAAGAATTAATGTCCATTTTCCACCAAACAAACGTAGAATAATTTCTCGGGTTGTCACTTATAATTATAATAATATTTTTCTTTTCCAACGTTATTGTCGGTGTCAATGTCTAAAATGTCTAAATCTCTAATTACAAAATGTATATGAATAGTAAATATAACAGGGAACAGATCACGCTTTGTTTCCAATGGTGTTTTTCTCTCTTTTACTTCAGGAAAATCTAAATAAATTAATGACCAACCTTCGTAGCACCCAGCCGCACTTTGTTCGGTGCATTATCCCGAATGAGACCAAGACTCCAGGTAAGACCCAGCAAAATATACACTCACCTGAGAGTAGCAGGAACTTGAATGGGTATAAAGGGCCAAACTCATCCGTCCAGGTGTCATGGACTCCTTCTTGGTGCTGCACCAGCTTCGCTGCAACGGCGTTCTGGAAGGCATCAGGATATGCAGAAAGGGTTTTCCCAACCGCATCTTCTATGCTGAGTTCAAACAACGGTAAGACAAAGCACACAGAAACAAAATTAAACTTTTGATTTGACATGTTCCTGATATCAGAATAATCAGTCATGTTTTCAAAACCTAGCTATCGCATCCTGAATCCACAAGCCATCCCAGATGATAAGTTTGTGGACAGCAGGAAGGCAGCAGAGAAGCTGCTAGCTTCACTGGATATTGACCACAGCCAGTATCGATTTGGACACACCAAGGTAAAAGGCAGTAGTTTATGTCCAAATCTGATGTAATGCATTTGATTAACATAGAATGTTTGTTAGAATTGACAGAGTTTCACAGAATTCACATTAAAATTTTTCATGGAGACAGAAGTTAATAAAAAGTTCTGCTTCATAGGATATAAAATAGTTGTTTTTCTCTAAGGATCATGTGAGGTCATCAACCCATGCTGTTCAAGTAGTGATTGTTCCATTTCCTCCTGTAGGTGTTTTTCAAGGCCGGTCTGTTGGGTCACCTAGAGGAGCTCAGGGACCAGCGTCTGGCCAAAGTCCTGACACTGCTGCAGGCTGCTGCCCGTGGTAAAATCATGAGGCTGGAGCTGGCCAGGATGATGGAACGCAGGTAAAAGAGTCGAGTATTATAACAGTAACAATTATTAATTTGCAATTGATACAATACAGAAGCACTGGTTGACTAAGATGTGGAACATTTAGGGTCATTGTCAGGTCCAACATATTACCCATGGCTTATAAACATTTATAAGCCACACTTGCGCTTGTATTCTACAGAACCGTTTTTTTTTTAAACAAAAGTACCAGTATGAATTCCAATGAGGCAAAATTTGATTTGTGAAATTGGGCTGCACATAAAATGACTCAGTGAATGCCAACAATCCTTCAAATAACTAACCTCTTGATGGGTTAAGAAGATTAGTCCAACAGATATACAGCTCAAGTGTTGTATCTATGAATACAGTGGTCACGCCCTAAAATAAAGACCTCCTCCACCTGTCGTCTTTTGGAAAGGCTTAAAAGCAACACAATTGTTCATGAATCTGTCTGATGTTCGGTCGTCTGCTCCAGAATGTTGGTGGCCAACATTCTGGAGCTCCAGTTTGTCCTACCAGTCCATGCCAGGTGTTTGCTTGCCCTTAAATTCAATTGGTATGTGTGTGTGAGCGTGTGTAGCTCCATTGTTTTTTTTTTAGTCACACTCACACATACCACAGAGCCACAGGTCTGGGTTCATTCCATCCATCTCTTTAAATTAAACAATGCTGACCAGAGCCAGGTGGCGACATGTGACAAGTGACAGCTGCCAAGGCCCTCCCTAAAAATACAACCCCAGCCCCCACTTTCCCCCCGTGTGCCTGATGGCCCTTGGCCCTGTTTGTCCGTGGCGCCTGTACTTCTAAGTGAGTGCATTAGTGGAATATGTGGCGGGTGACAGAGGATTACAGACAGTCCGTCTGACAAAAGGTTGTGGTTTCTAAATAAAAACAGACAGTCACCTTTGTGAGACCCTCGGTGTGGAGTCATGTTAAACATCCAATCAGCTATCTCCCACACACTCACCCACCCTCCCAGCCCAGTCACCCTCCACCCTCCGATTGTGGAGCCCACTTAAACTTGGGCACTAAACACTGATAGCATAAGTCCTTGACCAATCTGATCTGCGTCCATATTTAGGGCCGTGAGACGCCGTCCCTCTGTAACTAAATCAATCTAGTAACCCCGTTTGGTCACGGTCGTCAAACATCAAAAGCAGCAGCGTTAGGTGTATGATTTCATGTCGCATCCTTTGGTGTATGATTAGACTCACACCAGTGGATGGGAATGGGAGTGGAGCCAAGAGTTGAGCACCAAGGAGCAGTGACTGGATAAATAAACAGGTGAATTCATGATAAATATTTCTCACCTCCTTCATCAGCTCTGCTCCCTTTGAGTCACAAGGTCAAACAGTCAGTACATTTGAACATTTCTCTTTTCAACATGAACCCACAGTAATATCTCTGGTCGATGTTAGCGTGGAGAGAATTGAAGATTTGAATCCTTTGAATTGTCCTAATGATGCCTGACATATAGGCAGAATGGCTTGTTTAAAAAAACTCTCCCTCTCCTGTGTTATAAACGTAAGAGCTGCATGAAACAAAGCAAAGAGCCACGGGTTGGCAACGCCTGATATAGAAAGTAACTGAGTGTCAGAGCTGACAAAGTCTCTCCAGATACACAATACTACTAAACACATTTAGTGTTACATTTCGAGACACATTCATCTTTACTGCTGTAGAGAAAACAGCCGTTCTCATTCATGTCTATTTTTCAGGGACGCCCTGATGATCATTCAGTGGAACATCAGGTCCTTCAACGCGGTCAAGCACTGGCCCTGGATGAAGCTCTTCTTCAAAATAAAGCCCCTTCTGAAGAGCGCAGCTACAGAGAAAGAATTAGCTTCTCTGAAGGAGGAGCTAGCAAAGCTGAAGGAGGCTCTGGAGAAATCTGAGGTCAAGCGGAAGGAGCTGGAGGACAGACAGGTCTCCCTGATTCAAGAGAAGAATGACCTCTCTCTGCAGCTGCAGGCGGTAAGGGACTCACAGATTTTGGAAACATTCATTTTCTAGTGATGATAAAATGAACTCACCTTGGGTGCTCTTGGGCATCTCTGCTACAGGAGCAGGACAACCTGGCTGATGCTGAGGATCGATGTGACTTGCTCATCAAAGCTAAGATCCAACTGGAGGCCAAGGTGAAAGAAATCATGGAGAGGCTGGAGGATGAGGAGGAGATGAATTCTAATTTGCTCAGCAAGAAGCGCAAGCTGGAGGACGAGTGCGCTGAGCTGAAGAAAGACATCGACGACCTGGAGATCACTCTGGCTAAAGTGGAAAAAGAAAAACATGCCACTGAGAACAAGGTAAGGAGCCCAGTCAATTATCACACCACAGCAGATCACTTTTAAACATTTTTAAACATTTAAATCTATGGTTTGCAGGTGAAGAACCTGATTGAGGAGATGGCAGCTCTGGACGAAACCATCCTGAAGTTAACCAAGGAGAAAAAAGCTCTCCAAGAAGCTCATCAGCAGACACTGGACGACCTGCAGGCAGAGGAAGACAAAGTCAACGCTCTGACCAAAACTAAGACAAAGCTGGAGCAACAAGTGGACGATGTGAGTTTATGTGATAATGTTTGTTCTCACCTTCCGGGTGAAGCATATCGACCTACTAATATTGACCGTTTTTGTTAATCAGCTTGAAGGCTCCCTGGAACAGGAGAAGAAATTGCGTTTGGACCTGGAGCGTGTCAAGCGTAAGCTGGAGGGAGATTTGAAACTCTCTCTTGAGTCTGCCATGGACCTGGAAAATGACAAACAGCAACTCGAAGAGAGGCTGAAAAAGTAAATTGATCAAATATTTACGGAACATTGGACGTCATCTTCCATTTGGTGCTGCTATGAATCATTAAAACATTTTTTCATTTTTACCAGGAAAGACTATGAAATGAGTGCAATAAGCTCAAGGATTGAAGATGAACAAGCAATGGTTAATCAACTCCAGAAGAAAATAAAGGAGTTACAGGTTTCAACTCTTCTCCTGCAATATTTACACATTTAATTGACACTTATGTATAAAAAAAAATAAAAGCAGAATTAACCGAACTACATTATTTTATTACTATAGATGACATTAAAGATGTGTAAACTACACAATTTGGACAGAATAACTGAGTTAAAAAATAATGGTTTCAGGCTCGTACAGAGGAGCTAGAGGAGGAGTTGGAGGCTGAGCGGTCGTGCAGGGCCAAAGCAGAGAAGCAGCGTGGAGATGTCGCCCGTGAGCTAGAAGACCTGAGCGAACGCCTGGAAGAGGCCGGCGGCGCCACCTCGGCCCAGATCGAGGTCAATAAGAAAAGAGAGGCCGATTTCCTGAAGTTACGCCGGGACCTGGAAGAGGCAATGCTGCACCACGAGGCAACCACAGCCACTCTGAGGAAGAAGCACGCCGACAGCGTGGCCGAGCTCAGCGAGCAGATCGACAGCCTGCAGAGAGTCAAACAGAAGCTGGAGAAAGAGAGAAGTGAAGCCAAGATGGAGAGCGATGATCTGGTCTCCACTGTGGAGCAACTGGCCAAGGGCAAGGTACAAACATGAACACGGGGATGACTTTTAGTCAGACTTTAATTAAACAAAGGCTTTGTTCACACTGCTGTTTCTTATCGTTCCTTTTTCTTAAAAACCCAAACTTGTCATGTCTGGTCTGCAGGCCACTTCAGAGAAGATGTGTCGCCTGTACGAAGACCAAATGAACGAGGCCAAAGCCAAGGTGGACGAGCTCCAAAGGCAGCTCAGTGACGCCACCTCTCAAAGGGCTCGGGCTCAGACAGAGAGAGGTAAAAATAATTCTGCCAAAAAATGGTATTAAATTCAATGATTCAACCATAAATACAAAAGCAATAATTGTTACCAAAATACTGCATGACTTTATTACTGATTAATTTACCTCCTAAAGAAATATACCCTCCTGCAGCAGGGACTGTATTTTTCAATAATACAAAAGTAGAGCAGCCTTTACATTGAATCATGGCTCTCTTCACCTTGTAACATCACTTAGTTTTGCCAGTGTTAGACTAGAGTTACTCAACTTGAGGATGTCAGCTCCCATCACGTGTGAACCACTGGTCTAGACCATCTAGCATTAGCCACAGTACAGCGACTATTTTTCCAGCAACATAAAACTACGTAATTCATCTAATTTTTGTCATCGTCTTTTATCATTGATTTTATGGATTGATCAATATTCTTTTCACGCCTGTTGTAGATGAGCTGGGAAGGAAAGTGGAGGAGCGTGAAGCCTTGGTCTCCCAGCTCCAGAGGGCTAAGAACTCCTTCATCCAGACTGTTGAAGAGTTAAAGAAACAGCTGGAGGAGGAGAATAAGGTATAAAACACTCCATCAGTTCAATTATCATTCACAGGCAGCCCAGATATTTAAAAGTCACAGTGCTACCACTCTAGCTAATCACACGCCTCGGTCATTCCAGACCAAGAACGCTCTGGCCCATGCACTGCAGTCATCTAGACATGACAGTGATCTTCTGAGAGAGCAGTACGATGAGGAGCAGGAGGCTAAGGCTGAGCTGCAGAGAGCTCTGTCCAAGGCCAACACTGACGTGGCTCAGTGGAGGACAAAGTACGAAACTGATGCCATCCAGAGAACTGAGGAGCTGGAGGAGGCCAAGTGAGTGGCTGTTTTGTTTGACTAAATTATCCGTGTATTAATGACAGGTATAACAGTCAAAGAACCTTCGTGTTGTTAGGAAGAAGCTGGTGGTGCGTCTGCAGGAGGCGGAGGAGACGGTGGAGACATCCAACGCCAAGTGTTCTTCCCTGGAGAAGACCAAACATCGTCTTCAGACGGAGATCGAGGACCTGGTCATTGACCTGGAGAGAGCCAACGCTGCCGCAGCCATGCTGGACAAGAAGCAACGCAACTTTGACAAGGTACGAACAAAACAAGCCGCCCACTGGAGCTGCAGTCTGTAGATCTATAGACCTGGACTGGACCATCCTCAGTCCAGCTGAGCTCCATCCCACATGCAGTGGATTCAGGGTCAGCCGTTTAAAGAGATCCTCCGTGGTTTCTTCCAGGTGCTGGCCGAGTGGAAGCAGAAGTACGAGGAGTGCCAGTCAGAGCTGGAGACTTCTCAGAAGGAGTCTCGTGGCCTGAGCACAGAGCTCTTCAAACTGAAGAACTCTTATGAGGAGACTCTGGATCATCTGGAGACTATCAAGAAGGAGAACAAGAACCTCCAAGGTGCTGTTACGTACTGTACATGATACCAGGTGCTGGTTAATGATAAGACCTGAAACTGACATACAGTAAATCTACTGTTCTGTTTGTTCACCTGTAGAAGAGATTTCTGATCTGACCGATCAAATCAGCCAGGGGTCAAAGACGATCAATGAACTGGAGAAGATGAAGAAGGGTCTGGACGTGGAGAAGAGTGAGATCCAGGCTGCCTTGGAGGAAGCTGAAGTGAGCAGTGTGTCACCTCCGTTTGACGTCCGTAGTCTGTGGAGTTCTTATGGATGACTGGACAGAAGGTCTTTGTCTTGTGTGTTTTTCTCCCAGGGCGCTCTGGAGCACGAAGAGAGCAAAACACTGAGGATCCAGCTGGAGCTCAATCAGATCAAAGCTGAAGTGGAAAGGAAGCTGTCTGAAAAGGATGAGGAAATTGACAGTCTTCGGTATTATTTCCCAGCATGCACTACACTCCTACAAATTCATGAAACCCACTCTCCTCCTCCCCATAGTCACAACTTTGTCTGTTCTAGCCGCAGCAACCAGAGGACTCTGGAGTCCATGCAGGCCACTCTGGACGCGGAGGCCAAGTCTCGCAGTGAGGCGGTGCGTCTAAGGAAAAAGATGGAGGGCGACCTAAATGAGATGGAGGTTCAGCTGAGCCACGCCAACAGGCAGGCTGCAGAGTCCCAGAAACTACTGAGAAACCTGCAGGTCCAGATCAAGGTGGGTTCATGGAACTGACTCGAGCTCCACGCCACTGTTTTTAAACCCCACACAACCTGAAGTAATACCTAAAAAAATCAGATGGTGACATCACAAGGAAACAGCTTTACACAGAGACTCTTCTACCTCATCTCCAGGACGTTCAGCTGGAGCTGGATGACACCGTTCATAAGAACGAGGAGCTGAAGGAGCAGGTGGCTGTGACTGAACGTCGAAACAACCTGCTGGCTGCCGAGGTGGAGGAGCTGCGATCTCTGCTGGAGCAGAACGACCGAGCAAGAAAACTCGCTGAGCACGAGCTGCTGGAGGCCACAGAGAGAGTCAATCTGTTACACTCTCAGGTAGAAATGACTTCCCTCACCACAGCACGGAGCGAAAGAAGGAAAATCACTAACAGAGAATTCACATGTTGTAAAAAAACATCCATTCCAGGTCATGGTTTAAAAATAAATCATTTTGGGGATTTTGTTTTTTATCATTTTATCAAATTTCTTTTGGTTTAAAACATCTTAATCGTAAAGTACTTTTTACACCAACTTTCTATGAACTATAGTTGATAATTCGTTGAACTCAACCCAAGACCAAGAAGTCCGGTCCTCAATGTCCCAGAGAAAACATTCAACATAAAATGGAATCTTTTTTTTGTCCAGAATACCGGGTTGATCAACCAGAAGAAGAAGTTGGAAAGTGATCTGACTTCCTTGTCCAATGAGGTGGACGATGCCGTACAGGAGTGTCGCAATGCTGAGGAGAAGGCCAAGAAGGCCATCACTGATGTGAGACATGAAGACAAACTAATACCTGATAAACATCCTCCGTACCATTCACCTGACAGTGGGAATACTGTGCATATCTGTAGGCAGCCATGATGGCAGAGGAGCTGAAGAAGGAGCAGGACACCAGTGCTCACCTGGAGCGGATGAAGAAGAACATGGAACAAACCGTGAAGGACCTGCAGATGCGTCTGGATGAAGCTGAGCAGATCGCTCTCAAGGGCGGCAAGAAGCAACTCCAGAAACTGGAGGCGAGGGTATGAAGTCCAAGAGTGGTTTTTCTCCGACACTTCAGGTCAAGGTTTGATGAGTCCAGAGGTCACTATCTGATCTGATCTTCACCGGCAGGTCAAGGAACTACAGAGTGAACTGGAGTCTGAGCAGAAGAAAAGCCAGGAGCACCAGAAGGGAGTACGCAAGTACGAGAGAAGAATCAAAGAGCTAAGCTACCAGGTACGCACAGAATTCACAAACAAAAATACAGAAATACAGAGAAGCACTGAATTAAAGGAAGCCAGGCTTTTTATGTCGCTCTTAAATGCAGAATTTCTGTTTGTGCAGGCTGAGGAGGACAAGAAGAATCTGGTTCGTCTGCAGGATCTGATTGATAAACTGCAGGTGAAGGTGAAGAGCTACAAACGACAGGCAGAAGAAGCAGTGAGTACACCAACACTTGTTTGTGTCGTTTGTTTTACTCCACACAATATAAATACTACAGTTTTGGAGAGGAAAAGTCAGCCACGAGTCTGAGCCAACCCTGTTTGAATGTGTGCAGGAGGAGCAGGCCAACACCAACCTGTCCAAGTACAGGAAGCTGCAGCACGAGCTGGATGATGCTGAAGAAAGAGCTGACATGGCTGAATCACAGGTCAACAAGCTGCGCGTCCGCACACGCGAACAAGGAACTAAGGTGTGTTGAGCTTTTACTTCTTAAACCACACAACAAGAAAGAAATCTCATTTTTTGAGGTTTGAGTTCTAAATATGTCAAAGACATTCAAAAGTTCCATCTTGTTTTTTCAGCATGCTGAGTGACGTGAGCAGACTGCACCCTGAAAATGGAACAATCACAGCGAAGCCACTGCAACAGATGTCCTCTGCTGTGTCAAAGTCCAAATAAAGACTCTAAACTTCATGTCTATGTCCTGTGTGTGTGTGTGTTCTTACATTTAGCAGCACATTTATGGGATGTACTGCTGAGGTCACTGAGAAACATTAAACATTATCATACAACATAAAATATCACCACGTACCTGCCATACTCACTGGCCTGGACCTTTGGGAACAGACGGTTGAATATATATATTTATAGTTGAATGTATTTATAGTTGAATGTCATTCACTTTTCCAGTCAAGAATTCCTTCCTCCACAGGCTTTAGGAGTGTCTGCAGCAGCCAGGTGGCGCTAATTAAAATCAAATGCACCAACTGATGATTAGCAGGTGTGGCCACATGTATTAAAGAAGCTTTGACACTTTTTGATGGATACCATTCTAAAGACTTTAGATGTTAAAATTTAATGACAGTATAATTTGGAATAGATTGCTCCAAAAAGTTTGTTTGGTTGCTAAAAAAGTATTTCTAGGTATCTGGCCTCAATGTCCACTGCTGTACTGGCACCCACACACCTCACTGCAGGTGTGAAACCCCGGGGTGAGTGTGTGACGATCCAGGACCTGGACACCTCACAGTCCAACCAAACCACTGTAGAACCAAATATGTAATTATTAAAAACAAAAATGAAAAATCAGTTTGATAACTTACAACGACAACATGAAACAAATATATCATTAATATTAACCGAATAGCTTTGGAGTATCCAAGAAGTTAAGTCGTGTCAGAAAATATCTTCAGATTAGAAGTGAGTAAATTCAGTTAGCAGGTAACTAAGAGAGCAAAGACAGCTAAAGGTTCGACCAACGATGACGACCAAAATGTCCTCACAGAGGTTTCTACACTGTATCTGTTTGAACGACTTCCAGCTTCCAGTTCTTTTATCTGCAGTGATTCTGGACCATGGTCAGACCAGGTGGTGTTGAACCCAAACTGGTTACACCTTCCACACACCAGTGTATCAACTCAATGTTTTGAACCAGTGTGTCCTCATTCAAACACATTCAACCTTATTACATCACAGCTCCACTGGAATTTTGAATCAACTCCTTTATTTCTCTTTAATTTAATTAGCGAAGAAAAAAGGTTACGGCCATTAACTTTAAGAGAAAAGTTTACAGACAATATAAATTGAACAAGTATCTTTATTTTCCCTTAAGACATCAAAAACCACCAGAGCTATTTCTGCTTCACTTTTGTGTCTTCACCTCACCAGGTTTTCAATGTTTTCTATGTTAATGACACTAACGCCTGCATAGTATATATGTTTTCTCCTAATGCATATTTTAGGACATGGATAAAACTTCTGTACAAAACGAAAAATGTTTTAAACAGCAGATTTGTTAAAATATAATAAACGATGAGCATTTTTATATGTGCAAAAGTTTATTCTACAATTGATCTAGCGCTAAAAGCCACACACACACAAAAAAATCCGAAAAGAACTTGGAAACAAGAATGGCCTCTGTGTGAACAGCACAGTTAATGAGGGGTTTAAGATAACTGGTTACTCACAAGCGACTGACGACCTTAAATCCCGGTGATAACCTGGAAAGCACCAATCAGCAACAGATACCTAACTGAACAAACCAGCAGACAGTAGAACAGGAACAGGTGTTCATTAACAAGCAGGTTACAAAAAGGTAAAAGATGATTTCCTCAACCCAGGACTGTTTTTTGTTGAAATGTTGAGTGGTTATTATCTACTGTAGTGATTGCAAGATCCAGCAGAGGGCTCTCTTGACTCTTTTTTCCTGACCATGGCCTCTGTCACCTTCAGAGATTGGTGAAATGCAAATCTATAGAAAACAAACTCACATTTTAGCTGATGTAAATAGAATCAGTCTCGTTGTCCATTTATTTACAGTTACCAGTTGAATGAGTAAGTTTCTGACACCAGGTGAATACTTGTCTCTTATTGAAGGCTTAACATGGTAACCTTGGCCTGCAACCATATATTTCTGTTTCTGTAAGTTCTTAAATACAGTTCATGGTTTCATTGTTAGTTGTGCTAAGCCCAGAAGAGAGAAGAGGTTTTTCCTAATTTAAGACTAAAAGCATTTGAAAAGTTTCAGGCTCTGAAACTCCAAAACTTAAAACTAATTCTGTTTTAAAAGGGGACAACACTCCCCCCTACGGGACAGACAGCAGAGCAGCACCTAATGTCATGTAAGTAGCTTTGACTGAAGAGACTGCTTTTATTCAGCCGTGTCACAGGTCGCTTCATCTGGTTGATTGTTTAACCTGTGGCCGTTCTAAACCAAGTCCATGAAATCTTTTTTTTTTTTTTTTCTAACGTAAAATCTGTTCCATCACATTTTTTTTTCATACAATTTCCTACAGTTCAAAATGAAAAACGGCATCCTCTCCAAGGTTTCCTGTCTGGTGATGCAGGATATCAGCCTTCTGTCCATAAGGCGCAGAAACTCAGTGAAGGGATGACGCAAGTGTCTGTCTGTTTTTTTGCTGCCTGTGCGACCAGCTTCATTACATAGATACAGACTGGAGACAGGTGAGTCTTTGGCATCTGGGAAGTCAGATCATGATCACGCTGATGCCTCATCTTAGGGAAGTCATCACCACCAGTGTCATGTGTCCAGGCTCCATGCGACCTCACAAATAAAAAACATCTGGTCAATCTTCCAGCAGGTCTCTGTCTAGATCCATGAAAGGTTCGTCAATGTAGCTGGTTATGGCACACAGAGAAGTCCTGTCTGAATCCAGCAGCACCGACACCGTCTCCTTCCAGTAGCTGAAGGAAATACAGGAGCTCTGAGGAGGAAACACCAGGAATTAAACATTTATATATAAAAACTATATAGAAGACCAAATAAATGACCCTACTTTGTGGAGAGACTATACATGATCACAAACAGTGAAATATTCAGTTGTCACTAAGAATACGCACTATAGGAACAGAACTCTAAGACAGGACTCACCAACACAGTGGTAACGTCATGATACAGGTCCCAGATTATGATGTCTTTGCACATTTGCACTTTAAAGTTCAAAGACCACCTACTTTGATTGACCTCTGATTGTGAGGGACTAGCATTGAGCTTCTGCTGAGCATCCCAGATTCTGGGACGTCAGGAGAGTCTGACTAATGCTTAGGAGCCATAATGAAGTGCAGAAAAAACAACGGAGACAAACGAAAGCGAATGCAGCCCAATCTGACGTACAGCCTACAACTGGTGAATGTAAACAACAGAAATGTGTTCATGTCAGTGCATGTTGTGTTTGTTTCTTTTTTAGAATATTCTCTCCCATCATGACACTAACATTCTCCAGACAGGTGCTGTCTTTGTCCTTGTTGAGGTAGTGGCGCTGCCAGAAACGCAGCAGGTGGTGGAAGTTGTTGAGCAGACAGCCGGGGTACTTCTCAGCATACTCCTTCTCCCGCAGGGCATTGAGATAGAAGGGCAGTTTGGCCTTCCTCCTGGCCAGCATCAGGATGACCAGGCTGGTGTTCAAACAGCTCACATTCTCCTGTTCCAAAAAGGAATCGAAAGAAACAGAACATATTCATTTGGAGTAACTGTAGCCGTTAATGAATTAATGAGTTAACAGGATAAGTTGCCCAGCATTAAATATCAGTAAATTACAGAATAAAGATGTTTTAATTTGCCGTAGTAAACAACAATCAATGAATCTACAAAAACACATGAGCCCTGGTTCAAATGTACAGGCTATAAAAGCTGTGATAGAAATCAGCCAGGCCAAGAGTCACCTGTGATGAAACAAAGTTGTTTGTCTGTTTGAACGTGAGAAAATGAAACGAGACCTGTGTAAGAGTCTGCACGTTGATGATGTTGATCAGTCGAAACAGGAAGCCCAGTCTGTTCTCCACTCTGGCCATGTAGGACAACAGACAACACTCTGACAGAACCTCCACCACTGAGGACACACGAACACAAGAGTTCAAACAACAAACCTGCTTTATGAAAAGCTGTGTTTTTAAGATTCAAACTAAAACACTGAAATTAAGACCTTTTTTGGACAAAACCAAGGAATACTTGGATTTTATATATTGCTTTAACGTTTATATTTTTTTAGAACTGTGTCCAACTTTGGACAGATCAGACCTTTTAGCCACAGTTTACCTTTGATGTCATCAGTTTGGCTCTCAAAGCGGTCGAGTGAAAGGACAATGCAGCGAACCAGCATGTTGGAGTCCACCAGAGAACTGTTGATCTGGGTCAGAAAGGTCTGGAACTACAGGGAAGTAATAGTAATTAGTGAGTCAATCAGTCTGTTAGGACACCTTCACTGCTGAGAGAAAAAAAAACAATACAAGAAATTATTGTTGTCAAACAATTACTTATATAATAATTCAAATTTGAATCTGTTCAATCACAGGGCAGCTGTGGATTCATCACAATCACGATTAATCAAGATAAATCACCGTTACAGACCGTGACCAATACAAAACCATCACTTAAAATTGGCCCTCCCGCTCAGGTTTGCTTCGTAGAGATTTTAGTTACGTCTGTGCCTCATCACAGTGACTTTAGTCGACCTATCTTCTTCTTCTTCTTCTTTTCAGCTTGTCTCTTTTTCAAGGAATCATTTGTTTTTCCATCTCTCCATCTTCTATTCTGACTCCAACTACCTGCATGTCCTCCCTCACTGCATCCATATATCTCCTCTTTGTCTCCTACCTGGTAGCTCCGTCTCTAACATTCTTCTACCAATGTGTCCACTGTCCCTCCTCTGCACCTGTCCAAACCACCTCAGTCTGGCTTCTCTAGCTCTCTCTCCAAACCTTCCTGTCTGAGGCAGTAGCGTCAGTCAGCTTGTCAGCTGTCGACTTCCTCACTGAAGCTGAATCACACCGACATGGTTTGTTTTGCTAAAACATTAGCATGTTATGATAGTTACTGTAGCTGTAGCTGTTGTGATGAGCGGTCGCACCACTGTACCTTTTCTGGAGTGTTGACATATTTGTTGAATCTTTTAAAGGCATCGATGTTGAACTTCATGAGCTCACCCAGCAGATCAAAGTAGCTCTGCAGGACGTCTCGGGACGTACAGCTGCTGTCTATGATGCAGAACAGGATGTGCTGTTGAAGAAAAAGGAAGTAAACAAGGGTTCACATTCAATATAGTTGTTATGGCACAGGAGGGATAAGGATTGTGTTAAGGTTAGCTTTTCTTTTTTTTTTTTCTTTTACCTCAAGAAGTCCCCTCTTCAGAAGGAACATCTGATCTGCATAGGAGGTGGCTCCTCTGAGGAAACTTTCCACTGCTCTGGCCTGCCAGAATCTGCAACAACAATTGAACCAATCAGGACATAAGACGGTATAAGAAGCAGACGTGGAGGGTTCGTATGTTTAGGTTGTTCCTCCTGTGATACTATGAAGGACTAATGACCTGAAGGAAGAGTCAGGAGGCTCTCTTTTCATGACGGCGAGGAGGCGTGTGAGGAGTCCCTTTTTCCCATCACACACCAGACTTCTGTCTGTGTTGACCAAAGCTTCGACCTCCGGGATGTTAGCCTTAATGGATATGGCACTCAGTTCATTCAGTTCTTGGCTATTTAGCAGCAAGTATTTGTTCCTGAAACACGAGCAGATCTTTGTTGAAAAAACAAAAGACGATTAAAGGCTAAAAACAGATCAAGGTTCACTTACTCGTGGTGATCGCTGAAACTCTGAAGTAGCCGCAAAAACTGGATTTTAAATGAAATTTCCTGTACAATGAAACAAAGTATGTTGAATTCCAAAATAAAAAATAAAGTTTTTATAGAAATTAAGTCACCCATTTGGACTAATGTACATAATCACAACTAAAACACAGCTATTGTGAGGCTGTAGTTATGGCTGCACCTACATGTCTCATACTTAAATTCTAATTCTTTGTCACATTTCTACCATTAAGTGTCAAAACAGTGTTTTTCATAACTCTCTAGGAAACGACTGACTCTGTTAACAGCACCACTGCTTGGACTCAACTGTAAACACAATTTCACTTCTGCCACAGTAAATTATTTGGAAATAAGTCACATGATTTGGTCCTACCGGGCTGCAGTCACAGTTCTCATTCTGGCCATGCACCACATGAGTGGAAGCAGTATATTTCCTCCATATCAGCTTGTCAAAAAGGTTATTGAGTCCTGGTATGAGACGGAACTCGGCCAGCATCTTATGGACCTGTGCAGAGGAACAAGACAGAGGTTTAAAACAAACCTACACCGTAGTTTTGACAAAGTCAGAGAGAGGTGTTGATCAGGACCTGGTTCCTCTGCCGACCCATCAGAAGGACACACAGCACATAGAGAACCTCCACTTTATACATTATCTCATGTACAATCTTCATGGACTGTGGCAGCCGATGTCGCAACGGGCTTGTAGCCAGAGAACTCTCATCTGATGATTCTAAAAAAAAGTAAAAAAAGAGAAGAAAGAGAAGAAAATGAAGTTTGTTGTTTCTGGCGAAGGCTGAACACGGTGGATCATTTTGATGACACCGACAATTAATTTAAAATTTTAAGTTCTTGCCTGCCGTCAGTAGGGCAAGGACTGAAAAACAACTCAAACCTCCACTATTTAAACTGGTGCTTAATTAGTTCCATATTTTATATGTATTTATTTTCATGTCGTTGAGGTCATTACGATCATATTTTATACTTGCCCTTGCTATATAACACTATTAAAACTTTGAAAATGGGTTTCTTTTCATTTACTTTCAAACTGCCCAAACCAGTGACCACACCTGTGCTGCTCTGTTCAGCCTCCTCAGTTGCCATCTGCATCAGGGCATCCAGAACCAGGGCATTGTCCAGCCACGTGTACCAGTCCTCAAGCTCCTGAAGGAAATTTGCCCCTGTGGCTGTGGCTTCTGACACTTTCCTGGTGGCCAACTTACACAGCCGCTCAACGAAACCAGATGTTCATCAGGGTAAGTGCATTTTCAGTTGAAAGGAGATAAAAGTTAACGGTTATCACAAAATGTGATTTTATCCATTACGTTAGTTTCAAGTGGCAGAAAAAAAAGTGCTTAATTTGCCCCCAGCACTTCAGGTACCTACTTTGATTGACCTCTGCTTGTGAGGGGTTAGCATTGCGCTTCTGTTGAGCGTTTTTGGCCAGTAGTGTGTGCTTGTCGTCGTTTCCTACATCAGGTTCTGAGATGGTCACAGACAGGATGCGGCAAAAGTTGGCAAGCTGCTGTTGGTCAAAGCTTTGGACCAGGCCTGACAGGTTAGGAATGCCTTCCAACTGGATTATTTCCTAAAGAAAATAATACAACTGTCAGTGGATTCATTATTTTCCCAGATACTTGTTTTTCACTTCAAAATACAACATGAATGTGTATGTATTACACATATATATAAATACATACATGTATTTATTATCCTGCATCACTTCTACAATTTGCAAAAATATCAATATAATCATTGTTATTACTTATCAATATTTAGAATAGTCTGTTCTCCAAGATGTTTGTAACAACCTAGCTGCTGAGATGTAAAAGTGTTTTTTAGTGAGGAAAATATTAATGCTGACCTTTTTGACACCAAGAATGTCTTCAATAAGAGTAGCAGTCTGGAGGAAGGTCTTCTTATTTGTCATTAGCGTAAAAAGAAAAAGAACAAAATCATCCCTCGCTGCCAGGCTTTTAGTGACACCCTCTGTCTGTGAGTTTAAAAGAAGACATTGTACGTGTTAATGAAATCCTGTCAACACTGAGATTAAAGTTCTGTGCAAACATCTGACAACAGTAGGTGGTTGATAACACACAGAAAAAGACAACGTACACATATACGGTTGATAACACAGAAAATAACACAGAAAAAGACAACGTACACATATACAGCAGTTGTAGAGGACACTGAGGCAGTCTTTAACCAGGTCATCGTTCACTGCTGAGAAGAAAACACAGTAACTGGTCGAGGTCCAGACAAATCTGAAGTGGAAGTGTACGTTTCAGATCTAATACTGCTTACGTACACGCCTGATGTGTTCTACTCACATTTGGGTTTTTTCTTCTGTAAAGTTAGTGTGGGTCTCATCAAGATTTCCACAAGCAGCTTCAGGAGAAACAGTAAACAAGTGTATAAATGTAAACGTTGACTTATTACACATATAATGGTCGCTACGCTTTATTAACATTCAATTTTGGTTCTTTGATTTTTTTTTTTTAACAAAGCAGGATACATTTTGTTTTGTAAAACAGAGTTGAGTTAACTTACTGAAATGCAACTATTTAACCTCAACAATGACAAGCACATATACTGCAAAATTAAAAGTCAACCAAAAAAGCAGTGGTTTCCTTCACACTGTAATCAATACAATAGATTTAGATTTATCTTGGTCTCATATTTTTTCACAAAAACCTGGCATTTGAACAAGAGAGTGTAGACTTTTACACCAACTGATTATCAGTCTATTTAAGGCCAACCACAACACAATTAGTACAAATGCATGGACAAACTTACATTTACTCCACCAAACAGATCAAATGTGTGCGTGTTGGGGAATGTGGACTCCTGAGCAGTCTTCCTGTCCTCTGTGACAAAAGACATGGCTTCCATGGAAAGCTGAGATGATAAAACCTAAAACCAACCAGTGTTCACATATTAGACAAATTGACAAATCTAAAAAAAAAAGAAAAAAGAAAAACCTAACTGTTCCTACCTTAAGAAAGCAGTGGGCATTGGAGAGGTCATCGTTGGGATGACTGCTCGCATGAAGCCTCTGTAGCAGAGTAGGGATGCCATTCCACTTTGCTTGTTTGTCCCTCTCTATAAGCAAATGTCCAGGCAACTAAGGAAAGAAGAACGCAGATATGCAATAATGTGAGAACAGTGTGAGTACATCAGGACTCAAGTCTTTAATGTATTTCTTTATCTGCATTCCTTTTATGGTTTAGAAAGATGAGCTGAAGTCTGAGTCTGAGCTGAAATGGAGTAAAAGGGTCAGATTTCAACCACAACAAGGGTTTTTAATCTCCATGCTCATGGCTGTCAGAATCATTTTTACTAATAAAAGACTTATTGTATAGATACATAGTCATCTTGCTGGTTATTTTAAAATTAAAGTCTAAATACATTTTGTGGATTATAGACATAAATAATTTGTATAATAACGTATAATAAATACATTCATATAAAATGCAACAGATTTTAATCAGTATAAAAAAATTCATACGGCACATATATATGTATCTAAATGCTCTAATTCAAATCAAAGTTTTCTAATTATTTGGGGCTTATTTGTAGAAAGACCGAGCCAAATTATATTTGTCAGAGGGCCAGACACTACAATAAAACGAAATGCAAACCATTTATTTTGGAATTATGGATATTGCCCATGGGCCAACAGTTGATGACCACCGGCCTAAGTTATTAAGTTTTTAACTATATCAGCAGATATTTTTATAGATTTTGCATCTATAAATAAGTCAACCAAAGGACAGAATGACCCTGTCAAACAGAGACAGAAATTTCAAAGCTGACCTTGGAGTCAATTGCAAACAAACTGACATAATTACAGTGCAATAACAATGCAAAGCTTTGATACAGCTATAGTTAAATGTGTTGAACATGTGTCAAACTCAAGGCCCGGGATCCAAATGCACCCCACCAAGTCAGTTTGTATGGCCTGTGGGAGCTTAAAAAGCATTTAATAAAGTCCATGCAGCAGAGTAAACTTTTTTATCAAAAGCTTTTTTTATTACACAGCCACAAACAATATTTATAACTTGAATAAATAATAATAAATTGCAGAAACATTTATAAATACGTTATGGAGTAATTTATCTACACTCTATCTTCCATTTACAACCGGCCCTTCAAGGGAAACTACTGCTGATGTGGTGAAAATTAGTTTGACAGCCCAGGTAGAAGGTTGCCAGTCAACAACATGCACAGAGTCCAAGTCGTAAAACCAGGTTAGCTTAAGATAGCCGTGGTCCAACACCAACCTATTACACAAAGCTCAAGTATACTTGGTACTAGAGTAAATAGTCTAACACGTAAATGCATTTTAGGCAGCAACTGTGACGAACCTTTTATGTAAACCACTGGTATGTGGTTGAGTCGTTACGTAATCACCTGCGCCTCTCAGCTGGATAAACATAATACTAGCATGTGTGCTAACGATAGCAGCGGATGTTAAACGAACAGTGGTTTTACTGAATTTACGTCTTCACTGTCACGTAACGTTAAATAAATCATACAAGTACCGAAAACATATTTTGACAATCGGCTGTGCTACTTTGTAAAGATGGCCTTAAATGCTAAGCTAACAGCAACAAAAGCGTAGATTTAAACGGACTTTTCTTCATCCGGGTGCTAACATTACTACGTCTTGGGAAGGAGTGCATCGTGTACTACAAGAGTATATTATTAACAATTTAAAATAAGTGTCCAAAAATAAGATTTTGACCAAAGTTTGCCATATCCCCTGCTTATCCCCAAAATAGTCCCAGCGCGACTCCCAGTCTGAGTCAACAAACTTTGTCCTGCAACTGTCGCCAACGTTTGTCTTTACACCAACCTGTGTCCCTCGACTGAAACCCTGGCCGGTAATTTTACTGGTCGTCAACTTCGTGATAATGTTGCTTGGGTAATTTCTCTGTATTCCTCCAGTACTGTGGGACTCGGACCCCGCTAGCGTCGCCATTATATCCTCTTCCTGAATTGCGCTGCTGTGCAGGAAGTAAAATGCTCTTCGTCAAACGTTGGAAGCACTTCAGCGACATCTGCAGGTAGACATGATGCAACGGCAAAGAGGTTTTTATCGCAGATCCATATAAGGATATCCCGTGTAATACAAGACATTGTAAAGATATTTTCAATACAAAGATATTTTGAAAAATAAATACATAACATCATAACGTATTTTTTAGTAAATCCCTCAGGAATGTCTGTTTACATTGCACCTCATTTATTGTATTTCATATTTATTTATATCAGCTATAGATAAAACTATATTTTTTATGTTAAAAACTAAATGCAGTGATTGAAAAGGCTTCAAAAGAAGACCTGTCCCAGAACTGTATTTTTTTTATTTACATCCTTATTGAACAGAATCCTCTATAGTCATTGTGTTTGGACATAATGATATATTGGGTGGTGACTCTTGCTTTTCAAATGCAAGGAACACTGCGTTATATTTACTGTAGTTCTGTTTGTCACTAGGAATTATATATAGATCTACTTTTATGCTATGCTAACAGTTTAAAATTCACCTATACTGTAGTGTTATGAATAACAACGACAGCACAGGAACGATCCGACAAAGACAGAGGTGTCTGTACCCAGGGCACCAGGTGAAACCAGTGGGACTGATTAACACAGGTGAGTGTGATGAAACTAATTAACCCAGAAGAGCGAGACAGAAGAGTGACAGACAGACCTGACACTCTGATTATGAATAAACATGATGAAATGTAATAATACAACCTCAAAAAGTGCTGTGGTGAATTATGTTTAAACTAATAGGTTCTTTCTTGATATTGACATTCGTAAAGAGGTAGTCTGGTATTTAATAAACGGTAACATTCTATATAGATAATAAAATCAAAAAAATGTTAATACATTTTATAAATTTTTACACAAAAACAATGTTGGGAAATGTTATTATGCAGTGAAAATCTTTATTTTTGTGTAGCACAGTTCACAGCTACACAGCTTGTTTAACACGTTTACTTGTTATGCTCTTACTGTAAATGCGTGCAAAGCGTTTAATATTGCCTTCACTGAAAAATCGTTAGCTGTCCCTCTGGAGTATTTCTTGACATAAAATATCCCAACAGCTGATGAAGCGCTTCTTTTTCTTTACAGGTGATGGCTCTGCTGTGTGCGCTTCTCGTAAACTGGGTTTGGAAAATAGTAATCTAAGAAAGAAACAAGAGAAGAGCAGGGTGAATTACCTCTGTCTAAAATTTGCTTTAAACATTAAAATATCAATAAAATACAACAACTTTAGAAAAAACAAACTGATTAATAATTATTTTTGGTTAATATCAAATTATTACACATACCTTGTCTACGTTGTTGAGCGCGTCCTTGCCTCTGAAATTCACTTTGGTTTACTGTATAAAAACACAGGCTGTAGTTAAATAAGCTTAAACAGTAGCAAAAAAGTACTTCTGCTGCAAAAGCAGCAAACATAGAAAGTAGCTGAAGAAGTAGCAGAAGTATCCACAGGTAGCAGTATTTAAGGTAGCATAGTAGCTACTAGAAATAGCTTAGGAAGAACAAGTACACAGAGTACATGAAGTAGCAGAATTAGTCAAACTAGTGTTGGCAGCCAGAGTATTATAAGAAGGTTAGTAACATTACCATAGTAACGACGACTTGCGTTTCTCAATCTGTTGAATAACTCTGTGGACATGAGAAGAAGAAGAAGTTAAAGAATCACTGACGAGTGGTGACGTCATATCGTCACGTGGTTTGATTACAGACCTATGTGAAATCTTTGCTTAAAGTTTAACTCCGGCTCCAAGTTTTGATAAACTCTGGTCCTCTGAGCCGACCTTCTCGTCTGTCCAGGATGTTGTCCAGGATATGCTGAGGTGGTGGGATCACCTGTGTGGCGAGCCGCGGCTTGGTCATCGTTCTCTAAAGTATGTAATAATGAAAATACAACTGAATCATCAGAATTGAAGAAAGGAATTCATACTTGAATAAATGTGTCTACAAACCATAAACTAGATCGTTGTCCACTCCTGTGAAAAGAGAATATAAATAAATATATATAATTATTAGCACTTCTCATTGATTTAAATTTTTCCAACAGGGAAAAATTAAACATCATTTTTAAACTGTATAAAATGAATTTGCCCCCTGCTGCCCGTTGATTCTGAGGTACAGCATTTATGTTGACTCACTTTACTTCACCTTCAATCATTTAAATATTTACACTTGTTTTTCTTCCTTAAGATAACTTACACCATAACTTACACCATAACTTACACCACAGAGTACACACAAGTTACCGCACCTTTCTGTTGATTTCCAGCTGCCGTTCTGTGTGGTTGTACAGGCAGCTCCCAGCCATCTTTGTTAAGACAGTAAACAGATCAAAGTGTTCAGTTCTGAGGAAAGAGCTTCTACTGTTGAAGTCGTCTCAACCATAAAGAAACAATGTTTTACACTCAGATTCCACACCTGTACAGATGACACGGCTGTTCTTGGTTCTGCTTCTGTAAAGAACTGAAATAAGACGTTGTTGTGAGTGTGAGTGACCTATTGTTTTTATTCATCGGTTCAACCGTGTGCTCAGAATATGTATCAGGTTGCAGTGGAGAGTATCGGACACCTACAGTAGCTGCAGATACTCAGCGTGATGAAAGACGTCACGCCCACACAGATGGAAATCAGAAGCCACTTGGTCTTCATCAGTGTATCTGCAAAAACACTTGTGGTTTGACATACACATCCTTTCAGCAAATGAAAAAGAAAGTTACACTTGAGGCCTGGGCTACAGACTGAAGTCAACTCTCCTGGGAAACGCAAAAGCACTCGCCTGTCGCAACAACCATTTCCACCTGGTGACAGTTCGACATCTCCCCCATCACACAACAGTAACAGCCCAGGTCAGAGGTCAGCAGTTCATCAATTCTGACTGAGTAATTTCCTCTGGAACTCTGGTTCGGAAAAACCTTGACTCTGCCTCCTCTGGGGAGCAGAAACGTCACTTGACCGTTAGGCATCAAACGGAGCAGGTTTCCCCCAGCGGTGTGTTTCCACTCCACCACCGTGTGAGAGCTTGTCGTGAAGGTACATGGAAGTAGAACAGACGAGCCGAGAGGAGCGCTGAGTGTGCTGGTGTCACAGGAATAGAAATGTTCTCCACAGGATGTGTTGGAGCAAAGTCCGTCTTTGAAGAAGGACAGAGAAAAAAGTGACAAAGACAAAGATTTGGTTTTCAATTCTCACACTGTAATTGACACTGTTTGTCACATCTTTAGCAGATATTCTGTGTTTAACTGTGTAATGTCGTTCAAGTTCAGGCAGAAAAACACTTTACATGAGTTACAGAATGTCAAATGGATTCACCACAGTTCCTCTCTTCACAGTATTTAGACAAAACTATTTATTACATACAACATATAAGCAATGGCTATTTATACAACAAGAATTCCCCTTCATTTCTTATAGACGGTACTGTGCTGCACTTCAGGAAATGCAGCAAAATAAACCTACAGCAGTTATATTTGTCAGAGGCCGGGACTTTTTCTGGGTCGGACACTCAAATAAAATAAAATGTTTGTCCAACATTATTATTTGATGTTTACGATACTGATAGTTATTTAAATCTTGGTTGTTTTTTCATTTGTTTCAATAGTAGGGACCACACAATGTTTGTCTTTGATCCTCACAATTTTTTTAATTCAGTCGAGGGATTGGACGGTTCATTGGGCCAGATTCGGCCAGTTGGTGATCACTGATCTACAGTATGGACTTCTGAATATTTGCTGTTAACCCTGGGATCATTTTTTATGTGTAATTTCACTCGACTTATTTTGATATTAACGTACAAATTAAGAAATAAATTCCTAATTCTAGCTAAAAAAGAAGAATTCTCTGTGAGCCAGAGGAGACTCTTTGTGACGCTCCACATCCGTCTTTAATGGAGATGGGAATTGGTCTGAGACGTCTTAGCCGCGCTCTCTTCCCTCCAAAGTCTACCTCTCTGTCAACGTATTTAGTCACAAATAAAAAAAAATGAACTGCATAAAGAGAACTGCGTTTCAGAGAAGTACTCACAGCTTGAAGATGAACTGCATAAAGTCGAAAATACTGCTTTAAACGCCTTTGTACGAGTCCTTTGGTTTAAAGTTTCAGAGAAGTACTCACAGCTTGAAGACACAAACCCCAGACACAACAGCAGAATCCCCTCAAGACCTTTCATTGTTAACATCGAGCAACAGTGTTGACGGTGGTGTCGTCGTGCTGGCTTTGAAGCCCACAGTGCATCATGGGAGGACCACAGGACCACCCTCTTTTATTTGGTTAGTCTTTGCAGCTGAACTGTCACAAAACCACCTCAGTCCATATCGCACACTTTCGTTCTGCCATCGATGTACAGGCAGAAGAGCGTACAAGAAATATTGAAGGTGCAGACCACTTCCTGTGGAAAAGGCTGAACCTGACTGTTGTCTTGTAGAGCCAACGACAGAAGCTCTGGCCTGAACTGGTGTTCATTTATTCATTGTCTAAGGCCAGCAATATGACCTTTATATCAGGGGTCCTCAATCCCAGGCTCGGGGACCGCTGCCTGTCTGTAGGTCATGTGGTACCGGGCCGCAGTGGGACACAGTGAAAACATGTTTTATTCATGGCTGCTGCTGTGTGTGATGTGTATACTGGACCACTGCTGAGCCACCCTCCGTCGACACATTCACAGCTATTGCACCAAGAATTCACTGAACTGCTTTTCACAATGAAGAAAATACAGTTGTAAATCAGTGCATTTTCACTACTGTGGCACAAACACATGAAATTAAAGTAAAATAATTACATTTAATTACAGGGACTCGTATCTGAATCCTAGTGAGTCCTCGGTGAATAAATGACTTCTTATCTGCACCTGGTGCCTAGGACTAGATGTATAAATCTGGTACCTATGACAATATATATGTATTATTACAGCTGTGTATAAAGAAACAGTTCAAACCGTTTTAACGATACAGCTTTTATTCAGCAGTTATATAGAAATGAGTTGATCAGAACATGATAGAACAATCAATATGACTAGAAAACAACAAACAAAATAACAGTAGTTGAGTTAAGAATTACTGGCAGAATCCACTGCACGTCATGATTTACAGCTTAGTGTTTCTTTAACCCTTTCATTTAACTTGTTACAGTAGCAGGATCCATCCATGAGACCACAGGAACAACACCAAAGTTCCTGTTCTACAGGTGAGAACCACACTCATTGGCTGGAAACTCCCCGTAATCTTTTTTTAAATTCCCTTTTTAGACGCCCACATCTGTGTGACTGATACAGACCTTTGGTTTTGGGGGAGGTTGTGGCTAATGTTGTTCAACTCCAGCTATGAACCTATGTCACAGTTTTGATAAATGGAAAGATACCGTGACAACACCACTCTGTAGGCTAACTGTTGTGGCCAAGAAAAGAAAAGATGGTGATTCCTGCTTCAGAGGACATTGGTGGTGAAAGTGCAGACGGCCAAAGGCTCCTACCAGTGAGCAGTGTGAATGTGAGTGTGCCTTCTGTTTTATTCCTACATCCTTCTATTCTGTTACTTCTAATTCAGTAGTTGAAGTGATGACTGTCCATGTCGTACATGAACAAAGAACTGGTTCTTGTTCTGTTAAAAGCCACGTTGTGAGATTCCACCGTAGAACTAGAATTAAAAATCAGGCGACAAGAGTAAAAACAGGAACGTTAACAAAAAATAAGTACTAATGGATGAAAGAGCTGAGTCTAAACAAAGGTTAAATGGACTGTATGTACAGCATATCTATTGTTTACACTTCTTAATGTGCAGTTCATAATGTGCCTCTGACAGTGGACTTAATATAGTATTGAATAATATTTCTACTATTAATACAATTCTGCTTTTATTATCACATGGTGCATTACAGACGCAGTCAATCTGAAAGACTAGGTTAAAAGA